GTCGAGTAAATGAAAAATGAAGTTTAAAGTTTAAAAAACTTACTGAACTCCAAGCCTTTTTAACCGAACGGAATATTAAGACCACTCCCTGAGGAAAAAAGAAAAGCAATTGCTACTGGTTAACCAAAAAAGATTGAAATTACAACAGCAATTAGGACAAAGCCAAAGCCAGAATGCTAAACTAGAACTGGAAAAGTTAGGAAATAAGTCAGTTAGTTTCGATTTTAATCTTGATTACCGAGTTTTAGTGATAGTGCTTGTTTATTTACTGGCTATTTGGTTAGTGAGTAAAAACAGCCGATCAAAATATTATGAATAAAACATTATGGTAGATTTAGGAATTAAAACAGCCGTTAAAGACTGAATGTCAGAAAAATACGAAAACTGAATTAAACAGCCCATCAGCCGCAAAACGGAAGAGTTGGAAAACTTAGTCTCCCAGCAAGTCAATACTTACGGGAATAAGGCTAAAGCAACTGCTGCTAAGCCAGTTGATTACTATCGGAAACAAGAAACTTTTTATCAGGGATTGTTTTGGATATGTGTCTTGATTTTAATTGTGTTATGGATGTTGAGTGGGAGTTAAAATTAAGTTATAGCAAACATGTTGAAAAAAGAAGTTGATTATAGCTATTATCCGTTAAAAAAAAATAACAGTTAACGGAATTCCAATTAAGGAAATATACATTGACCCTTATTGAGAAAAGCACAAAGACGAAGGCATTAGCGAAGAACTAATTATTGAACTGATAAAATTATTAGATAATAAAAGGTCGGAATCAGGAAAAAGATACGATTATTGAGTATATTTTGCCGAAGAACCAATATTTTACCAAAATAAAGCCTATTGCCTAGTCTGATGTTTCGAAGATGACAAAAATTATTTAGAAGTAGTTGATTGTTACCGCGAAAGTAATTATGAAAGACCACAAAGAAAAATTAAATATGAAAATAAGTAAAAAAAGTCCACCTAAGAAAATAGTAGATAGCATTAGAAAAGAAATGACTAACCCTAATTTTCCTTACAAAAATATTGGTTTAAGACTAGATGCTGCTCCTTTGGAAAAGAATAAATATGAAATTTGTCAAAAAATACTAGCCTACAAGCAAGATAACAAACTAACTACCGAAAAGATTGCTAAAATTATTCAATTAACCTCTCCCGAAACCGAGGATATATTTTTTGGCCGAATTAACAAGTTTACTTTGGATAGATTAATGGATTATGCCACTAGCCTAGGAATTATTTTACAAATAAAGGAAGAAAAAGCAATTTCTCCTAGTCTAGTAAGAACTTCACGGAATATTTATGCTTCTTCCCGCAAAACTGCTAATGGTCGTTTAAAAAACACTTAAAATAATTTCCTCACTTTTTCCCTTTCCTATTTTCACCTTGTATAAGAAAAACCCAACCAAATATGAAAATCCTCTGAATTTTAATAATAATAGCTATTGCCTATTGGTTCTACCAAAAAAAATTAACTAATTAAACACTTTTTTCCCCTTTCGCCTTCACTTTGGCTAAATATTCTAAGCCCTTTATTTCATTCTCTAACTGTTTTTTTTTTTGTTGATTTCTAATTCTGTCATATTTTTAATAGGTTAATTTATCTAATAAATACTGGTCAAACACTTATTAGATAAGGGGGAAGCCTCAGCCTCCCCAACTCTTTTTACTTAATAATCTCTCCTTTTTGGCCTTTATCTTTATCATCTTCCTTTTTTTGAGAACTTTCTCACCATCAACCAATCAGAAAACCAGCGGCAATTATGGCTAATCCTACTAAGTTTTTAATTACTAAGTGTTCACCTTCGACATAACCTCCCATGGGAAGACCAACTATTATACTTATTATTAGGCCTGCTAAGAGACCTCATCATTTATTGAATTTCATATCTTTTTACTCCGTAAAAATATACGGATAAATCATTGTTTTTATTCATATTATTTTTTCTTTTTATTACCAAAAATAAACCCAAGAACTATTAAGATCACTAGGATTATTCCTCCGCCAATTATTCAGCCTTTATATTTTTGTCAGAAATCAGAGACTTGTTCTTTGGTTTCTTTATCAAAATGCTTATTCATACAAGTAGTGCCACAAAAATGTTTACCATTTTTTTTCATTAATATATCTAGCTTTTTACCACACTCAGCACATTTAAAGCCATAGTATTCATACATGCAACTTTTAGAGCAGAATTTTTTATCATCATTCTTGTCAGGGCTATAATGATATTGTCCCGTAATGGGTTTTAGACATTGTTTGCAGAGGGTCATGATTAATTATTACCCTTGGGTGGGATTTGAATTTGAGCAACTGTTTCTTCTTGGATTTGCTTGTTTTCAGTGTTTTCTAGATTAAGTTCTGATAAATCAAGTGATAAGGAATTAGTTGCTAAAGACTGTGAATTAGCAATTATTTTTGCTCTCTCTCATACCCTAGTGGGAAAAGAATATGGGATTCTTCTCTCTCTCTCATACCTGAGAAGACATAGCTTCTCAGGAAGAGAATTGTAATTCTTCTCTGCTGTTAGGGAGTTGTTCCATGTCATATATTATTATTATTTTAAGCATCTCATATAGGAACCTATATCAGTAAAATTATTAATATATTAAAAAGAATAACAATTTTGAAACCTTTCTATCATGCCTACTATTAATCAATTGGTTAATAAACCCCGCACTTCCAAAGCCAAAAAAACCAAAGAATTAGCCTTAAAAATTAATTGGAATTCGCAGAGCAAATCCTACTCTTTTGCGAATAGTCCTCAAAAGTCGGGAATATGTAAAAAAGTGGGCGTGCTTAATCCTAGAAAACCTAATTCGGCTAATCGGGCTTTTGCACGGGTGGTTCTCAAAAACAAAAAAGAAGTTGCGGTTTATATCCCTGGTGAAAAGCATAATTTACAAGAATATTCCTCGGTGTTAATTAGTGGGGGTGGTGCCCAAGATTTACCAGGAGTAAAATATCATGTTATTCGGGGTCATGGTGATGCCGAAGGAGTAAAAGAAAGAAAACAAGGTCGCTCTTTATACGGAGTCAAGAAAAAAAAGTAAAGTTTAAAATAATCTTAAATAATATGGTCGAAAGCATTATTGAAATTAAAAGACTAAAAAAGGTTTACGGGGGGAAAACAGTGTTGCGAGATATTAGCTTTTCGGTGAAAAAAGGTAGTATTCACGGTTTTATTGGTCCCAACGGAGCAGGAAAAACTACTACTTTAAATTGTCTAATGAGTGGTGTCAAGCCCAGTGGCGGAGAGATTTATTTAGAAGGTCAAAAAATCGGGCAGGACGAATTAATTAATCAAAAAATAGGTTTTATGACCGAACAGGCCCCGTTCTCGGCTAGCCTGCGCGTGGAAGATTTTATTCATTTAGCGGGACAAGTCCGCAACATTCCTCCCCAACAGGTCGAACAACGCTTACGGAAATCCGATTTAAATAATTATCGAACCAAAAAATGTGGGGAACTATCGACAGGTTGAAAAAAAATATTACTTTATTTTGTGGCTGTAATGCACAACCCCGATATTTTAGTGCTGGACGAACCAACTTCGGGATTAGACCCTTCCTATCGCGGTATTTTATTAAACCAATTAGAGCAAGTGCGAGCCCGCGGTGGCACCGTGCTAATTTCCAGTCATATCCTTTCTGATTTACAAAAGTTAGTGGACTCGGTGACTTTAATTGATAGAGGTCAAATTATTTATACGGGGGGAAAACCCGCCGACATTGAAGAAATGTATGATAAATTACTCTTAAAAGAAAAAATTGCTGAAAAAAAAGGACAAACTTTTATTTAAAATCCCTAAACTATGAATAAATTAACCATTAAAAAAAAAAAAAAAACACCAGTAAGTATTTGACACTCTCAAAGTTATTTTTGACAAAGAGTTTTTTCTAAGTGAAGCACTTGACTAATTTTACCTTTGCATTTTCTCTTTTTTGCTGCTTGATTTTGGATTAATACTCAACTTGTGATAATATGGAAAACAGTTGATAATACTAACACTTTTTTTGCTGGTATTTGGGGAGCGGCTATATCTCCTCTAGCGTTATGGTGAACTTTTTTTATGTTCCCGCTTTCTTACCTTTTGTGAGGGCGAATTGAGGAAATAGCCCAGAAAACCCAAACCGATGGCACCGATTTATTTTTCCTTTCCACAGAAATACCTGCTAGTCGTCCCCGCATTTTTGGTCGCAAAATCCTCTTTTTAACTAGTTTTTTAACAATTATACATTTGATCGCAGTGGCTTTGCCTTTTACTTTATTGCAGTGAAAACTTGACTATTTTAGTAATCTTAGTGGGTTACAAACTTTCTCTTTTTTGGCGTGGTGTTTACTAATTATTCCTTGCTTTCTCTTTGTTCCCTTAGTTGTTTTTTTGGCTTCTTTGGCTTCCTTAAAATCTACTTGGTTTCAGATTTTGAAGTGGTTTAGTCGTTTTTCTATTTGAATTGTTGGCCTTTTGATTTTTTTAGTGGCTCAGGGGGGAGATTTAGGAAAAAAAATAGTTGAAAATCTCGACGAATTTAAAGAGTGGTGAGAACAACATTATCTTTTAACTACTTTAATTATTATGGGAGTGGTTATTGCCTTGGCACTTCTTACTTTACCACTAGCCTATAAACAGTTCCAAGAAAAGGATTTAAAATAGCAAATTGTCGGAGTCAAGAAAAGAAAACCAAATCTACTCTTATTTAATCACAGTGGCTTATGATGGGAGCAATTTTGCGGGCTGGGCCACCCAACCACAACAATTTACCGTCCAAGGTTATATTGAAAATATACTTAGCAAAGTTTTTCAGCAAAAAATTAGTATTTTAGCCGCTAGCCGCACCGATAAAGGCGTTCACGCTCGCGACCAAAAGTTTACCTTGCGGCTCGATTTGTCTTTTTCAGAGGAAAAGTTATTTAATTTATTAAAAAAAGTTCTTAGCCAATACCTCTTAATCAAAAAAGTTAAAAGGGTAAATAATAATTTTCATCCGATTAGCAATGTTATTAAAAAAGAATATCGCTATTTCATTAACACGGGAAAGTATAATATTTGACAGAAAAAATACCGTTGAGAATATAACTTACCACTAGAAACCTCCCAATTAATTAACATATTACAAGTTTTTTCTGGAAAGCATGATTTTTTCAATTATTGCCATTGTCGTGAAAAAGAGCGGGAGGAAAAAAACACGGAGCGGGAAATCATTTCCCTAAAAAGTTGAAAAAAACAAAATATTCTGGTAATTAGCATTATTGCTAAAAGTTTTTTGCGCTACCAAATTAGAGCCATAATTGGGGAGGTTATTAATTGTTATGAGGGAAAACAAACCATTAGCAACTTAAAAGAAAAGTTAGTCAACTTCAACAAAAAAAATTACAAGTATAAAAATATTGCTCCCGCGGCGGGTTTATATTTGTGGAGAATCAAATATTAAAAGAGAGTTATTCCCCATTTTTTCCTATCCCTCTACCTCTTGAAGTATCAATATTACTAATTTACCCAAAATATTGCCCGTTTTTTTGTTTCTTCCTACTAAAAATCAGAAGACTACTCCAATCACTAATAATATAAACTATCCCTCGCCAATTACCCAAGGAGATTTCCAGTTAAAACCACTTTTGCTCTCTCTCATACCCTAGTGGGAAAAGAATATGGGATTCTTCTCTCTCTCTCTCTCTCTGTTATCATTAAGATTATCCTTTAAATAATAATTTTCGCATGAGTTATTAGTGCATTTAGAACTACCCTGTTGGAGGATGCCATTGCAAAATCAGCATTCGCAAGAAAGCATTTTTTCAATATCCACTTCCTTAATTACAAACTTGCCTTGTCTTTCTAAATACCCTCTGCTATTTCTACTATTTGGGTCTTTTTCATATTCAGCCTTAATCTTTTTAACCCTTTTTTCTTTGGCTCACTCAAACAATTCAATAGTGAACTTTTCCTCAGGAGTGGGATTAACTTTTCAAGTTCTAAGTTCTTTTGTTTCAGGTCAACTATTGACAAAACTATCTCGTCCCTCATGACTACCATCAGGAGCAGGTGGAATATAATTGCCTATTGATTGGCAAATGATGACCTTCAAACATTTTTGCTTAGGAAAAAAAGTTATTTCTTCTCAACTATTTTCTTCCATGAACTTTTTGATTGATTCTTTATTTACTGTCATGGTTATTTAATAATTCCTTCGTAAGTATAGTTGCATAATGACACAAGCGTCTCGTAATTTATGGAATCGTAGTGTTCGGTATGTTCTTTTAAAATTTCAATAAGCCTTTTGTTATCTTTTCTCACCTTTTGGTTCTCATCCTTTATTTTTTGTCAATCACCTCAATATTAAGCAAAAACATTCTGATGAAAATCATCGACTTCTTTTAAATTTGTTTGGTAAAAAATAACCTATCAAAGGCTAACCAAGAAACTTTTTGCTTTTTCTTCCAATAGAATAATACTTTGCTTTTGATGATTGATTATCTGCCGTTCCTTTTCTCTTCCTTGAATTATTTCTCTTTGTTTTTCTAAACTGGGAACGAGAACTAATATTTTTTTCAAGACATTAGCATTAAATTGAGGTTGAGCAGTTCCTCCAGCTAAATCATTTGCTTGCTTTCAATATTCACGAGTTTTTAGTAAAACATCAATAATATTTAGGTAATATTTCTTCTTTGTGGAACTTAATTTTAATATTTATTGTATAAATAGTTTTGTACTGGTAGCGGGGGGAGGATTTGAACCTCCGATCTTTGGATTATGAGCCCAACGAGTTAAACCAGGCTACTCTACCCCGCGATTATAAATATTAGTTTTTAATACATTTTTTTACTGAACTTAGTTTTTAGTTCAGTAATTTAAGTATACTGTTAAACTTATTATCCCTACAAAACCTCTTTAACTCCTCATTGTTTTTT